TCCCTCCATGCATCCATCCATCCATCCATTCATCCCTTCATCCATCCCTCTATCCGTCTATGCATGCAGCCTTTCATCCATCTATCCGTTTATCCATCTGTCCATCATTCCGTTATCTATATATCCATCTATCTACTTACATCTGTTTATGTATCTACCTGTTTTTCTGTCTGCCTGTCTGCTGCCTGTCTTTCTTTCTATCTGTCTATCTATCTATCTGTCTAACTGTCTATCTACCTATGTATCTGTTTATCTGTCTTTCTATCAAGCCATTTGGCTATCGATGTATTTCGGTGTCCAGCTGTCTATATATCTAGCTATCTATCGACGCTCTATCTATGTATGTATCTATCTATGTATCTATCCATCTATCCATCCATCTATCTATCTCTCTATCTGCCTTCACTCTGTGCCCAAAAGACGGCGTACTGGAGGTGGCGCGGCAAAATCCTTGCACGTACCGTGTAAACTGTGGGGGATTGAGGTTTTCTTGGGTGTTGCAAGGTTTGGGGGTTTACTCTAAAACCCAAACCCGAAACCCTTCGCATGGAGAAAGGGGTCACCGCACTTTTAAGAAAAGCCCTGAACCCTGTCCTAGGGACCTGTCGCTGCCTCCAGCCAGGCTCAAAAGGGTGCTGAACAAAAACAAAACCCTAAACCCCAGAACCCAAAACCCCAAAGCCCTAAACCCCGAAACCCCAAAACCCCTAATTTAACTCGAAAACCCCAAAACCCCTAAACCCCAAAGCCCCAAAACACCTAGATCCTAAACCGTTGCACTGAAGCGACTCGCGAAGCTGGAGGAGACCATGGCACAGCCTTTGGATCACCGGAAGATCGCCAACCAGAACTTGGACTCCGGGGGGTTGGGGTTCAGAGTTTAGGGATTTTGGGGTTTAGGGCTTCAGGGTTTAAGGGTTTTAGGTTTTAGGGCTTAAGGCGTTTATGGCTTCAGGGTTTAGGGCTTCAGGGTTTAAGGTTTCAGGGTTTAGGGTTCAGGGTTTAGGGTTCGGGGTTTGGGGGTTAGTGGTTAAGGGTTTGTTGTTTGGGCGGGCATTGGTTTAGGGCGTTCCGGCTTTCGCATCGTCGATATGGGAACCAGCCTTCCTTCTTCTGAATGTTTGCTAGGCATGAGGGTGGAGCCGCTGTCTCCCAAGGGGAGTTGTTCGGTTCTGCGACAAGTCGTACGTGTTTTTGATGTGTGCTGTCTCTTTCCCTAAACCCTAAACCCAGCAGTCTTACTCTAAGATGTAAGGTCCTGACTCAACCCAGTGTTGTGGGCTGCTCGGCGCTGACAGGCTAGGCATGCCCGAAACCCCAAAACCCTAAACCCCAAAACCCGAAACCCTAAACCCTAGCCCCGAAACCCAAAACCCAAAACCCCAAAACCCTAAACCTCAAAACCCAAAACCCTAAACCCTAGCCCCGAAACCCAAAACCCAAAACCCCAAAACCCCAAACCCTTGGAGCGAAACTCTCAACTCGGAAGGACCTCCTGGCACCGGATGCGCGGGGCCTGCTGATGAACATGGAGCCTCCTTGATTTAGGGTTTAGGGTTGAGGGTTTAGAAATTAAGGGTTCAGGGTTTAGGGTTTGGGGAAGGCTTAGGGCTTATGGTTTAGGGTTCAGGATTTAGGGACTTTGAGGCTCTGCGCTGTAGTTGAGTTCGTGGAAACGGCGAGGCTTGGATCTTTACATGCCCCTCCTGACAGCTCTCAGAGACCCCAGGAGGTCTTGGGCTCAAGTGCTCCAACTAGAAGAGCCCGAAAAAACGCACCAAACCCCGCTTTGCATCCAACATTCTAGTTCGGAGCCCGAAACCGCAATGCCGAAACCCTGTGCCCTCAGGAGCTCGATTTGCCTGAAGTCCTCGACATGATGCGAAAAAGCACGATCGCGCTCCAACAAATCCTCAACGCCTTGCCGGTGTCCTCGGCCGATGACTTGAAGCCCGAGGACTGCGGTAGCAATTGGGGGTGCAGGCTTTAGGGTCCTCTGGAGTCTTCTGGATCTTTCCTATAGACGTATGTAGGGTTTGCTCTTACGTGGCTGTGCTGCAGCAGTGGAAGTTATGCAACACATAGCTCTCGAGGGCTCGGTGCTTGGGGAAAGTTGCAATGGCCCGACTGTGGTGGGCCATCCCACGCATGCAGCCACCCGATGCCTAAAAAGGCGGCAAGACCATTTTGTTCCAATTGGGGTTCATCCAATGTCGGCCACATGAGAAGTTATCGGAAGCCTTAGGCATCACTGCAGTGTCACAGCCGGGCAGGGCATGTAGTTCCTCTGGGCTTCTGCTTTGGGGAGGGCCGGCCCCTCGCGGTCATGGGCCAATGGGGGTCTCAAGGACCCGGTCCCTGGAATCAGCCGCCTGGGGCCCCGTTGAAAAACCATGCCAAGTTGTGGCGCTCCTTATCAAAAGTTTCAGGGTTTTCCAGTACACTGTTACTTTTCGGCTCAGCAGTGCTTGGCCGACGAGGCGAGGCGTTGACAGCCGAGATCGGGCTGTAGTTGATCAATCTCGATAGGCTCGACCCGGTTCTTTGCCCCAGTGCCAGGCTGCGGGCATCTTCGTTTGGGCACCCTGTTGCGAGTCTCCCTTCGCAGCAGCAAACAATCTACTGTCCAATCTACTATAGGTGGGAGCGGCAAGCATTTAATGTAGTTTAGACTCTCGGGTTCAGTGATGTCACGCCCGAAGGAGTGGTGGGGTGCCTGCTGGCAGGGAGCATGCGAGTGGCTGCAGCAAAACAGGGAGACATGGCAGGCAACGACGCATCAAAGAGAGTGTCGTGCCGCATTGGCTGCAGTCCTGCCCCGACTGTGATCACGCAGTCATGATGTACCTTAGACATGGAGCGCTGAGTTGCAAAGAGAATGGCGTGCCCGCGTCGATGTTTGTGTGGCAGGGGTGGATGCCAGAGCAGTCCAACTGCTATGCCGGCCAGGGCATGCAGGAGGCATGGCATGTTGTTGCAATTGTTTGCCTGGTTGCCTACCATGTCATACGCTAGTAGGTTCCATTTTCGTTTTTGATGTGCGGTTACAGGCTATATACAGAACTCAAAGATCTTTATGCTAGCACACATGACCACCTACATACATGCATGCATAGATAGATAGATAGATAGATAGATACAGATGTACATGCATGCATGCATACATATACACACACACACGTACACACATACATACACACACACATACACACATACACACACATACACACATACACACGTACACACATACACACACATACACACATACACACATACACACATACACACATACACACATGCACACATACACACATACATACGTACGTACATACGTACATACTTACATACGTACCTACGTCCATGCATGCATGCATGTATGCATGCATGCGTGCATACATACATACATACATACATACATACCTACTTACGTACATACCTACATACATACATACATACATACATACATACCCGCACACATATCAAAAAAAAACAACATACGCCCACATACATTCAATATACCAACATCTTACATTGTGTATATAAATTATGCTGCTATTGTACGCGGTCACATTCTGCTAAATGCCGTGTGTGTTTTTGACAGTCTGAAGTTGCTTCGATTTCTAGATTGGTACATGTTCCGTACTCAGCCGTACTCTGTGCTTCAGATTATTGCTTCCCCCTTTCTCGTTTTGCCTTGTGGACAGGATGGGGTCTGGCTGACGACCAGGTCGCCAAACGCGACCTGCGGCTCGTGCCCACCCGGGCGCTACTCCGTGCTCCTGGAGGATGCACTTGGCGCAACGGCGGTGTGCCGCGCCTCGGCGCAGAACGGAGGGAGTGCTGCGCCCAGGGGGGACCAGAGCTGTCTGAGGTCTTTGCCACCCGGGCACCAGCCGCCTGACAGAATGGATTTTCGTCACGCTTGGCCCACTTCAGGGACAGTTTTCGGAGGTAGGGCCAGACGACTGAGGCCAAGAGCAGGCCATGTCCGTGAGCTGCGATGTCTGCTTGCCTGGCACCAAAGCTGACCAGTGGGGAGCGACGCAGTGTCAGTGGTGCCCGCAAGGTCGGAGATTTCAGGGGCTCGTCAGAGGAGTGAAACAATGTACAGCTTCCGCCCAGCTCCTCCGACCTTTCGTGGTGTGATGTTTGTGACTGCCACTAGGCGAAATCCTCAGTTTTGGGAAGGTTCTGTAGGTTGCACCGCCTGACAAGGTCCCAAGAAAGACTTCGGGAACAGCACAGGGTGGAAGTCAAAGTTTAAGATGTAGATTTTCAATCCGTCTGGATGCCAGGACCTCAAGCGCGTTTTTGCTTTGCCTCCTGTTGTGAGACTGTGTTCCGTGAGCGAGTTCTGTAGACCGCATCACAAGGGAAAGGCCCACCGCTGTGGCAGCAACACTTGGGGAGGACAGAGCGCACAGAAGCAATGAAGTACCTGTTGTGCCTGTCATGGATGGGACTCACCAAAACGACATCGGCAAACGGTTCGTTGGTGCCGAAGGCAAAACGGCATGTGTTCATTTTGAAGGTGAGAAAATGTTGGCGTTGGCTATCAGATTTTCTGGTGACGGCATGTGAGGCTACTTTGTTTAGGGCGGATAGACCGTAGTGGCAAGTAGCGACAGCAAGTTTTAAAAATAGGCGGGTTGATGGACTGGCTGCACAGCGCTGAACACTGTGCTACTCGAGCCACGGTCCTTGTGACGCATGACATGCCGTACTGTGGCGGCCAGCAGGGTGCTGACAGCTTCTAACAAAGCTATCAAAAAGTGTCTATAGAAGCTTTCGGTGCTCTCTCCCTCCGCAGGCCAGTACCAGTGGGAGTTCGGCGCCACAGAGTGCAGGAGCTGTGAGGAAAGCAAGACCACGATAGCCTTGGCTTCAATCAGTGAGTGGGATTGTGTTTGCAAGCCGGGCAGGCGGGAGTATTCAGTGATGCCTGAGCTGCGTATCTTTTTGCATCTAGCTCGTGTCCCCTCCTCCGCCGCCTCCTCGCTCGTAGACGTCTCCGGAAGGTATCTGCGGAACGAGACGGAGTGCGTGCCCTGCCCCGAGGGCATGTATTGTGCGGGCGACAGTTTTCCCGTGTTCCAGCTGGCCGGTTATTGGGTGGAGCAGTCTTACGTCGAGGGCCTCAGTTCCTATTCGGTGTTCTCTTGCCGCGAAACCTCGCGATGTCCAGCCGGTGAGCCTGGACTCTGTAACGTTGGGCGCACCGGGCGCGCCTGTGCCGATTGCTTTCGTGGCTATGCCTCCGATGTGGACGGCTCCTGCAAGCCCTGCGATGCTTTGTCTATGTGGCCCTTCCTCCTGCTTCCGATTGTGATGCTGGGGCTGCTGCCGCTGCTAGTCGCAGCCACCATTCTCATGAGCCGAGCGCGGCGGGTGGCCGTCAGCATCTTTATCGTCTGTGTGATCTTCGGGCAGCTGGTGGTGTGCTTGCAGTCCCTCGAGGCCTGATTTCAGAAGAGCTTCTAGATTCTAGATCCACTTGTGTATAGTTTCGTGCCCGGCACTGTGTGAGGCCATCTATCAGTTCGAGATCTCCTGGATCGACCCTGCGAAGGCCGTTTTGTCCTCGCTGGCCATCTTCAGTTTGGACATCGAGTTCTCCTGCATCTTGGATCCGCAAAGCCATGTCGTGGAGTACGGCTCGCAGCTCTTGGCTTACCCGGCGGTGCTGCTCGGGACTGT